AGGACATGACACAGGACAGAACACAATGGCGTTCTAAGATTCATATAGCCGATCCCACTCAGTGACTTGGATTTTCCAAGTCTCCAACCAAGAAGTTTTCCTCACTCGGGAAATTAAGGGAACACTACCTCAACCTATATGCTCCACTCACAAAACTTCAACGTACAAGCTTCAACAAAAGAAAATTCAAAGAACTTAGCGAAGAAGGCTTTGGTGTATTTAACACAATACGTTGAAATAAAGGAAAGCTTATTTATTGATATCCCTGATAAGTTACAAATATGTACATATACTTGAGTCAAAATAAACAAACAAGAGGGAGCATTCACAAAGGTTGCTTAGGAGAAGTCTCAGCAGTCGGTAGAGCCCCAGAAAGAGAAGGCACCGGAGGGAGGATCATTCGGAGCCTCAGTACTGGACAAAACCCTAGAAGGAGGAGGCATCAGAGGTTGATCATTTGGAGCTTCATTACGCGGTACAGCCCCAGAAGACGAAGGCAATAAATGCCTTTGGAACAAACCCACAAATCTCTGATGATCAAGTAAAACCTGACCATCAGATTCCTTCATCTGGTCAAGCTTCCTCTTCATGTTTGTAGCATAGTCATGTGCGAGCCGGTGCAACTGTTTATTCTCATGCTTGAGCCCTCTAATCTCCTGTTTGAGACTCATCACTTCAGCCACCAATGATTCAACTTGGCGGGTTCGAGCAAATAGGCGTTGGGCCATATTAGACACAGAACCTGCACACTGAACACTGAGAGCCAGAGAATCCTTAACAGCCAACTCATCAGACCGTTTGGAAAGTAGTCTGTTATCTTTGGGAGTGAGAAGGTTCCTGGCCACTACCGCAGCGGTCATATCATTCTTCATCACGGAATCCCCAACGGTAAGAGGACCAGTAGGGGAGACGAAGGATGGGCGCCATATGTTGTCTGGAGAAGGCGGGGCTGCCTCTTCAACAAGGTTCAAGTCAAAACGACGGTCGGGGGCCAGACATTTTCAAAGGTGTTGAAGAGAGAAGAGGTCGGACAAATCAAGATCTTAGAAGTGCAAGAATGGAGCTTCTACTGGTGGATATTCAAGTGTGCTTTGGAACTTAATGTCAGCCCCTATAAAAATCTGCACTCGACGAAGCTTCAGAAATCGAAGAGGCGCCTGCTCAGAAATCGAAGAGGCGTTTGCTTTCTCAAAAGCTGGGCTGCTCAGAGACCACGAGGGTCGATCTCAGAAATCGAAGAGGCATTTGCTTTCTCAAAAGCTGGGCTGCTCAAAGACCACGAAGGCCGATCTCAGAAATCGAAGAGGCTTGCTTTCTCAAAAGCTGAGATGCTCAGAGACCACGAGGGCCGAACTCAGAAATCGAAGAGGCACCTACTTTTCCAGCCTTGTCAGCACCTGTCACACGCACACTCAGCTTTGCGGAAATTATGGGCATTCTGTCGAAGATTTCTGACGAAGTAGAAAACACATTAATCGTACTGTTCAACCACACGCAACAGTAGCTCATGGGTACCACAGATAACTTTGCCAAAGTTCTCTGACAAAGTTGAGACACGTGAAGCTTGCAGCTCCCACTACATCGCTCTGACCAAGAAGGGTAAAAGAATTGCAAAGAAACAACACTAACAAAGTTTAAACACATAAATTTTGAAGGTCTAGCTACCATATTATTACCCACAAGGGTAAAGGAACAGTACCACTGCTGGATAATTGGAAAGTCCCGGTGTGTCAACCTCTGTGCTTCGTGGCAAGGTAGACTAGCAAACATGCCCAACCTTATACTCACATTCGAGAAAAACACTCCCAACAAGATTGCTTGCTCCAAAATCGAAGAGGCACCGCCCTCCGAATCTCGAGAGCCAGACTCCCAACATGATTACTTTCTCAAAAATCGAAGAGAGGGTAAAGGAACAGTACCACTGCTGGATAATTGGAAAGTCCCTGTGTGTCAACCTTTGTGCTTCGTGGCAAGGTAGACTAGCAAACATGCCCAACCTTTACTCACATTCGAGAAAACACTCCCAACAAGATTGCTTGCTCCAAAATCGAAGAGGCACCGCCCTCCGAATCTCGAGAGCCAGACTCCCAACATGATTACTTTCTCAAAAATCGAAGAGAGGGTAAAGGAACAGTACCACTGCTGGATAATTGGAAAGTCCCTGTGTGTCAACCTCTGTGCTTCGTGGCAAGGTAGACTAGCAAACATGCCCAACCTTTACTCACATTCGAGAAAACACTCCCAACAAGATTGCTTGCTCCAAAATCGAAGAGGCACCGCCCTCCGAATCTCGAGAGCCAGACTCCCAACATGATTACTTTCTCAAAAATCGAAGAGACACCGCTCTCCGAATCTCGAGAGCCAGACCCCCAGCAGGATTGCTTTCTCAAAAATCGAAGAGGCATCGTTCTCCGAATCTCGAGAGCCAGATCCCCGACACGATTGCTTGTTCGAAAAATCGAAGAGGCACCACTTTCCCAACTTCAAGAGCTGGATCTCCTTGGATAAAGCTTGTCTGTAATCTTCACACGCAACATCAGCTTTCCAGATACCACAGACCACTTTTTCAAAGTGCTCTGACAGAGTTAAAACATGTGAAGCTGGCAGCTCCCACTACCGTGCTATAACCAAGCAGGGTAAAGGAATAGCATTATTACTTGATGTTAGGGAGACTCCTATATATGTCGACCTCCATCCCTTAACGGACAGGCAGACCTGCAAAAATGCTCAACCCTTTCTCTTATCTGAGAGGGCACTCCCAACGAAGCCTTTCGAAATATTCAGCTTTCTTTCCCCCCGATAATACCTCTGTTAAACAAGCTATACTAGAGCAAGAATATCTCATATCATCAGGGTTAAAAGCAAGAGTATCCCATATCATGCTTTTTCCCTGTCTTTTCCTTTGGCCTTGTTCTTACCTGCAAGACAAGGAGAAAGAGAGCAATCGGTCAGCACTTGGAATCAAGCTTCCAGCCAGGAACTGACTGCCTGGAACCCCTTACCTGATTACTTACCTGGCATTGCTCTCGAGTACTCATCTTCAACATCTTATGCTTCCAGGGAAGATACCGCATCTGCCTGAGGAACAAATAGGGCAAGTGAGAAGGATACAAGGAAGCATGTGGAGACAAGCGTCACAGCACACGTGCCGATACATCCACTACTCTGTCAAAAGCAAAAGTATCACATATCAGCAGGGTCGAACGTACTCTAGATTTGATGGACTTGTTTTGACCCTCAAATTCTTCAGTCGGCCTTATACTCTGGAGGAAACCAGAAAACCCTCCAGCCCAGTTCAAGAATAAGCCTGTGGAAAGTTACTTCTTCAAGAGCAAAAGTATCCCATATCATCTCTCCTCATTTTTCTTCTCTTTATCCTTCATGCTGCCTGCAAGATAGGGAGAATGTGAACAATCAGCCGGAGCTCTGATTGCTTACCTTGTCTGTCACCTCTTTCAGCAGATCCCCTAGCTCGGCGACTTGGGGGACTCCTACTACATGGTTTGTATCGCGCTTGACCAAGCATGAAACTACAAGTAAGCTTCAAGTGAAATTGATACATTACCTTGTGCATCTCCACCAGTTACAGATACCACCCCTGGATGGAGGAAGAGTACTTCCAGAGAAGATGCCACATCTACCTATGAGACAGATAAGGCAAGTCAAGACGATACCACACTCCGGTACTTAGAAGTTTCGTGGCTACGAGATCATTCTCCCACAATATTTCCTAATGTCATTTGTACTAAATCATTCACTTGTACTCACTAAAGGAGAGCTTGAACCTATGTACTTGTGTAAACCCTTCACAATTAATGAGAACTCCTCTATTCCATGGACGTAGCCAATCTGGGTGAACCACGTACATCTTGTGTTTGCTTTTGTGTAAACCCTTCACAATTAATGAGAACTCCTCTATTCCGTGGACGTAGCCAATCTGGGTGAACCACGTACATCTTGTGTTTGCTTTCCTATCTCTATCCATTTATATACTTATCCACACTAATGACCGGAGCAATCTAGCGAAGATCACAAAAAGTGACCGTTTTCGCTACCTAGGATCTATCTTGCAAGAGAACGGAGAATTAGATGGAGATCTCAACCATAGAATACAAGCTGGATGGATGAAGTGTAAGAGTGCATCCGGCGTGTTGTGTGACCGTCGTAGGCCACTGAAGTTCAAGGGAAAATTTTATAGGATGGCAATAAGGCCAGCGATGTTGTATGGCACAGAATGTTGGGCAGTGAAGCATCAACGTACACAAAATGGGTGTAGCGGAGATGAGGATGCTTCGTGGGATGTATGGGCACACGAGAAAGGATAAGATTGGGAATGAGGTTATCCGAGGTAAAGTAGGAGTAGCCAAAATTGAAGGAAATATGAGAGAAAATCGGTTCCGGTGGTTTGGACATGTGCAAAGAAGGCCTACTGACGCTCCGGTTCGAAAATGTGACTACGGGACAGAGGTTCAGGGCCGAAGGGGTAGAGGAAGACCTAGGAAAACTTTGGAAGAGACCCTAAGAAAAGACTTGAGGACTTGGATCTAACGAAGGACATGACACAAAACCGAGCGCAATGGCGTTCTAGGATTCATATAGCCGACCCCACTTAGTGGGAAAATGCTTTGTTGTTGTTGTTGTTGTTGTTGTTGACGTTGTAGGTGAATGATATGGTGGTGGAGCTGGTGGCGGAGATGGTGGCAGGGGATCCTCGAAACGTACCGTGTGAGGCTGTAGAAAAACACAAGGCATCCCTCTTGGTTTCTGGAAGCCATGGCTGGCTTTGGTGCTACCTTAGCTGCTTCAAACAAGTGAACACATCTCTACCAGAGAACAGTGGCTGCCGTGTCCAGCAATCCACCGGCAAATAGTTTTAGGCATGGTTGCCGTTCTTATCCTCGTAAAGAATTGTTACTCGATCGGCAAATGTTCCGGCCCGTGGATCCTGAGCATCTACATTTAGAAGTTGTGCATTTATCCGACGACATACACACGACGCATTCGAAATCTCAATTTAAATTTAGAATCTTATCAAAATCTTACAACATGACATTGAAATTATACATCTTTGTTGAAACGCAAACAGCAATACAACAATACAACGAATAAGGCTTTGAAAACACAAAGATTACAGAAGCAACTCTTGAAAAAACTGACGTACATTGAAATAAAAACACAATCCTTCTTCCTCGGATTCTCGAGAGCGAAAACTCCATGGTGCTTCGGAGTATCTTATACTCTGAGATTTTTAACCGTTAGGTGTCAAGAGTACAATGGCAGGTCAGTCCAAGCCCCAGAGACGTGCCCATTTTCACAGACATAAGCTCGAACAACCGGCTCGCCATCGTCATGGTACCCGAAAACCCGCCTCAAGCAGAAGGCAGAATGCAAATCCCAAGTGTCTTTGCAGGCGCAAAACGCGCAGTTCAGATCAATCTTGCTGCGGTTCCCATCCTTGATCGTCCTCCACACTTGGGACCCCTTGAAATCCTTGAAAATCCCTCTGAAAAGCATGTAATTTCGTTTCTCTTCGATGTGCACGCAGCCGGGCCAATCACAAATGTACAAGCGATCGCCGCGGAACCGGCTGTGGAGAAGCTTGTTGCCCTGCTCACGGCTCAGATTCCAGACCCCAGAAGCCAAATGCGACCTCATCGGTCTGCAGACCTTCCTTTTCTTGCAAATCGAAAATTCGCCGCCCACTCGAACGGCGCCATTCTCCACGGCGACTTGATCCGCCTCCGCCGCTGCTGATTCTAATTGGGGATTATCTTGCTCTTGATGGGCTTCAGAATCGTTATAGACTGTATCGAAATAAAGATCATCGAACAGAGACCAAGAACAATCATTTCCAGAAGATCCCACCTCCTGATTCGCGCCAATTTGGCTCGAGGAAGCCTCGGTCGGAGGATTCGCCGCCGCAGATGCGCCGACCGGATTGGAGTCCAATCTCCGGTAATTCTCGTCGGGACCGAGCTCGCGCTCGAGCCCAAAGTCGGAGTTCTCGAAGAGGACGCCGGAGTGGAGGAGGCCAGGGCAGCAGACAGCGAGCTTGTGAAGGGCGGCCCAGCCGCCGGCAGGCTCGGTGGAGCCGGTGAGGAGAGCGGAGACGACGGAGGGGATGACCTTGTAGCACTTGGTCTTCCAGCAGACGTTGCGGATCATGGAGGAGAACTTGGTGCAGGAGCAGGCGAGCCGAGCCCAGTTCCGCGGGTCCTCCTCGAGCTTGAAGAGGATGTTCAGAACGACGTCGTCGGAGAGCTTCGAGAACAGGGTTCCGGCCATCGGATTTCGAATTTGTCTGAGAAATGAGGGGACAAAAAGGTCGGAACTTGACGTTGGATTTGGGTATTTTCGGGGATTTTGAGAGATGGGTTAACGGAATTTCTGTTTGATTGGTTCGAATTTGATTTTCCGTTTGTTTCTGGTGAACTGATTTGGGGAGAGTGTCAGTGTCTGGTTAAAAGGAATGGCGAGAAAGAGAGAGAGAGGGAGGTGATCTTCTTTTGCCGTTGGAAACTTGGAATCTGTTGGCCGGGGGCTTTTGGGGGCGGACTTTACAGCTATTCGATTATTTCTATTTCACGAGTCGATACTTTAAACTACTCTAATTTGCGAGATTAGAGACACACACTCGAAATCAAGTACAATTGCACATAGGTTGAGAGTCGGGAGAGATTTTATTTTTCACTTATTTATTATGTGATAAGTATTTATTGAACTAAGACGTTAAATGAATTAGATACATTATCGTGTCATGCTGGTGTTCAAATTAATAACACAATATCATGAAAAATTATATAAATATGTGATATTACGTTATTGAAATGTAACGTATAAATATTTATTGGTCGGATGTCCTCATGAGAATTATATCTTAATTACAAGACATAATTTATTCAAGAAAACGACACGTATCTTTACAACTGACTAGATTATAATTGCCTTTATGTATCAAAAGACTTTTCTTTCTTTTTTTAACAAATGTACAAAAAGAAAATTTAAATACCCTGTTTTAGCCAATTAATCTTGCTTGATTCCTTTTCATTTGTTTGCTTTCTTTTAAGTAGAACATTTGTTTATTTTTATTTGACGGCCCTTGAATTCCTCACGAGTCTTGTGAATCTTGAAAATTATGCATTTTGTTATTATCTTAAAAAGAATTTAGTACGTCAGAAACATGACCTTGTGCACTTGATTTGGAGGAAACAAGTGGCTCTCCTTCTCCGCACGTTATGATATGATATTTGAGGATTTTGATGCTCTTATCCATGATCGTTGAGAAAATCCACCATTTAGTAAGATAATAGTGGATAGAGACGGTAAAGTTCCAGCAAGTCCACTCCTAAGGATTTTGTGTCAGCACCCAGCCCATTTATCCACTTCAATGAACAGTAATAGACTAACCTAATTTCTGAAAACGTTAAATGAATTAGATACATTATTGTGTCACGTTGATGTCCAAATTAATAACACAAAATCATGTAAAATTATATCAACATGTGATATTACGTCATTGAAATGCAACGTCACATGATAAATATTTATTGGTCGAACGTCCTTATCAAAATTATATTTTAGTTACAAGACATAATTTATTCAAGAAAACGCCACATATCTTTGCAACTGACTAGATTATAATTGCCTTTATGTACAAAGACTTTTTTTTTTTTGACAAATGTACAAAAAAAGAGTCTAGATTCTCGCCGGATCTTCTTTGTGAGGATCCCATAAATTCATGAATCGTGTCTATTTATCATACATCGTACGGTCAGAAATCATTTTAAATATTTTTTATTTAAAAACAAACAAACACAAACATAAACGGATCTTCTCTGTGAGGATCCCAGACATCCATGAAAATTATGCATTTTGTTATTATCTTAAGAGGAAATTCAAACGTCAGGAATACCGCCTTGTACACCGAGCTCTTCATGCCACTTGATTTGGAGGAAACGAGTGGCTATCCTTCTCCGCACGTTATGATATGATATTCGAGGATTGTGATGCTCTTATCCATACTCGTTTGAGAAAATCCACCATTTGGTAAAATAATAATCAGTCATCTGGTTTCCAATGTGGGCATGTTTGGTTTGTGGAATAAGGTTGGTTAGCAACCAGATTCTCGTGTCTGATTACAAAACTAGTTTATTGAAAAGAAAATTCTCGTGTCTAATTCGGAAATAAGTCCATTGAAAATAAAGTTTTTGATCTTAATAAAAATAAGTTCATAGGTAATAAAACTCACATGTACTTTTAAAATGAAATTCTCGTAGCGAATCGCAACGTAATAAGATCGTTGAATTGTAACTCTCATGTCTAAGCACGACATTATAGGTACAATTAAAAATAAAACTCTAGTGCCTAATCACAAGATAGGTTCTTTGAAAAGAAAACTCTTGTGTCTAATCACAACATACTAGGTATACTGAAAATGATCTCTCGTGTCATGTCTAATCACAAAATAGGTTCATTAAAAATGTCTCATGAATAATTATGGAATAAGTTAATTGAAACAAAACTCTGGTGCCCGATCACGACATATAGATGCATTAAAAATGAGTCTTATCTCATTTCTATTATAAAAAAAAGCAATGAAACTTTCGTGTTTTTATTACAACGTCATAAGTTTATCTGAAACGAAACTCTCATATCTAATCACAAAACAAGTTCCTTAAGGGGTGTATATTTTGGCATAAAGATGTAAACGGAAATAATAATATGGTATTGTGTTTTCTCGAAAAATAATTTGAACCTCCATAAATATTATTTCATTGGATTTTGTTTTTCCATAGACCCACCCTACGACCCCTCTCCCGTATGGTGGAATGTGGTTGTCAGGTGTAGGAAGTTTGAGTCCACAAATCAGAACGCTGTCGTTTTCTCACAAAAGGCAAAGATTTGAACGGCATAACACCAAAAGAGAAAGGCCACTCCGCGGACCACCATTTTCCGCAGATTGCACCGCCAGTTTGGATCTCTTCATGTCATTTCATATCACTGTCACCACAACGCGAGAGATTCTCCCTTGCAACCAAAACACAGTGCGATATCACTCGTCGATTGACGCTTGCTACGCATTCGAAAAGAGAATTACTCGTCCGATACACCTCGTGTGAATATCACAAGACTCTCCGCCAACACTTTTTTAATCACTTGACGCAACATAATGCATCTTAAAATAGATAAACATCGGACAGACGTGAGCCAGACCAGTTGAACAACGCATTTTGTCATCCCCATTGCACCTAATTTTAGCACGCATCCCCTAGACTGCATCACTACGGGGAAAGATAAACGAAGCAGAAGGGAGATAATGAAACTTCAAGCAAAAATGTAGCAGCAAAAAGTCTCAAATGCATTACAAAGTGCAAAGATGGTAAAACGCCAGTTTCGGTTAAACAACAGTTCGCCGCAATAAACAATGTAACAGACGCAACGATTTTAAAAACGAAACGAATCCATCCATAAACTTAGAAGTCCGCTAAATAAAAGTCACCCGAATTCCAGTGTCCTTTAACAAAGATTGTAAAACTTGCCCCAAGTGATAAATTCAGGTCCGGGATAGCATCACATCACCTGTCGAAAACAATTGCAATCACAACCTAGAATGAATCGTTGCATATAACTTCAACGATCACAAAGCAAGAGCAATTCGTGGAAAATGTGTTGAGAGGAGAAAAAGATGGTGCGACAATGATGACACTAACAAAAGAAAATATAATGCTCGAGAATGATACCGTGACAAACTCTTGCTCCTGCTCCTGCTCCGGATTGGACTCCTGCTGGTACTACGCTTCTTTGGACTTTTACTAATGTGCTTCTTCGGGCTTTTACTAATGCGTTTCTGATTATGCCAAACAAACAAAATTATAAAGGGCCAAAGAGCCGTAATCCAATTGCAGTTTACGAAATCCAGAGAGGCCATCATTAGTAAAGGAGAAATCAAATCAACTGACAGACAAACTGTATAAACATTAGGCTTCATCACTATCATGGTACAAAAATGTCAAACAAGCCTTGATAATATCTTAGTTTAACGCCAGAATACAAAAACCTATTGAAAATGGGGCAACTAACAAAATATTGATTCTTTTTTTTTTTTTTTTGAATGAAACAATATTACAAAAATAACACTTACCGAAGGCACTGGAGATCTGCTTCTTGATCGTGATCTGCAAAAGTTCCAGAAACAACCGAATTTAATAACCATGTTCCTTTTACCAATTTGATCCAAGGTCTTTTTGATGCCTCTTCCGTGTGAAGTTACCATATACAATAAGGATAGAAGAAAAAGATTTAAACATTTAGCACACCAATAAGGAAAAAATGGATGAAACAATTGATTATATCACCGCCAAAACAGATCAGAAAATCAGAGGGAAAAAAATAGGGATATAGTAATTTTTTAAGACACCAGTGGAAACAAGAGGAGCATTCTTCCCTACTGTAACACAAGAATCCAGGATATCCAGATAGTGCGACCTATTAGCTTGGCAAAATGTTGGAGCAGGAAAAGAAAATCAAATTGTCTCTACTGCTCATTGACGATGACTTCCAAATCCCAATGGCACTTAGTTCACAGATATCCAGCTTTACTAGTGCAATCCAAGACCTCCATTGTTCCCAATCTAGCACCCATGGACATTTAAATGCCAAAAGCATTAGAACAGAGGCACCGTGAAGGTTTTGCAAAGCTGCCTATCTAAATAACAGCATACCTCCATATAAAAGAGTTGTAAGCAATTGACCTTATCCAATCAAGATCCTAATATCCAATCCCCAGTTCGCCGCATATATCCATATCTAAAAGAAAAACAGAGGTAATTTTCATGCGAGCAAAAAGGGAAAGAAAATAAAAACTAGGTGGATATCTGACTCTTTCTTGGCAACCCCAACTGCTGAGCAAGAAATAATGGAATGCAGCAACAGGAAAATATTGCAGCCCAAAGAACATAATTCATACTTTACAACTGCAAGACGACATTCGATTCTATGCAAAATGGAGCACGCCTAATCTTTAGAAATACTCCACATTCAATGACCCACTTGATCTGAGTCAGTAGTTACAACTGTTGACACAGTGATTGGTTAAATTTCAATAACGTAGAGTCACAAATTTGATAGCACAACTGCAAAATGTTAGTATGCAGAAGTATCAAATAGACTGGAAAGGTAAATTATTGTACTAATAATCTCCATCATTGTTCACCTAACGAACCCATGAAAACCCAGATGAAATGAACATCAACAAACCATAGGTAGATGACTAATTGAAAAAAAAAACACATACCCTGATGGAGAGCGAGACCTTGATCGCGAACGCGGGAGAGAAGCAGATCTTGATCGAGATCTAGCGGGTGAGAGGCGTGAAGATTTGGTTTTTGGAGACTTGCTGTAATCAGATGTAAAAGTAAGAACATAAAATAGAAATGTTAGTCCCCACATCTACAGAATCGTGTAATTGAGAATGGTCAAACCTCCTGCTTCTGCCCCGGCCATAACTTGGACTACGACTGCGACTGTAGCTCCTGCCTCTTGAATGAGATCGACCACGACTAGGGCTCCTAGACGAGTCCCTCTTCGCATCATATTCCCTCACCTGTGTAATAAAATGAGACAATAAATAAATTTAACAAAAGATAAACAAAAATACAGGAGGAAAGAAAATAAATTTTCAACTTGTACGATTCATACGCGAACAGATTGGCGGTCAAAAGCATTTCGGAACTCAGAGCCATCAAGCTTTTTGATCTGCAGGAAATTAAGTATGAAGTTTGAGATTCTTATAGACACTTCAGACACATCGACATATTGAAAAAGAAAAATTCAACAACCTAGTACCCAAGCTCCATAGAAGGTTACAGAAAATATGAATGTCTGGACTCTGGAGTGAGAAAGTAAAAGGACTTACCGCATACTTCATATCTTCTAAGTTTGTGTAGTCTACAATCCCTGTTGTACCTACAAAAAAAGGCATAAGACAAAAGCTAAATCAATCGAAATTATGATGTCTCATGAGCTAGGTCTTAGGATTACACTTTTGAATTAACACTATATGAAAAGTAGTGTACATCCCAAAAACATTCTGAAATCTGGTTGAGAAGCACTATGAACCACCGAACAACTTTTATTCATACCATGTATCATGAATTCTTTTAAGTCACCAACAAGACAAAATCAGCCAGATCACCAAAATTTAGCAGGAGACAGTACGAGAAAAACTGGAAATTCTATAAAGCTGTGTAGGAACTTGAAAATGCTCATTCTAAGTTTCTAACATATTATTTCTTGCAAGAGCAACCACCTTATGACAGTGGCAAAAAAAATATCCACACAATTGTTTCTGATACTAACTTTGCCACAATATTACGTACATGATAGCAAAGGAATACCCTTGAATATGAAAAGCAACTTACCACTACCATCACGAAAAACTTGGGAGAAACAGACATCTCCCGCCCGTCGCATATGATCCTGAATAAATGCATCGCATGTGTCAGATATGCAGTGACAGTTGACACACCAAGGAACAATAAATAATGAAAAAACCTTAATACAATAGCACACCTTAAGATCTTGCCATGAAGCGGAAGGGGGAAGTTCACTGACTAACACTGTGGACAGAGCAGGTTTAGAAATATATCAGGTGCATCCTACCACATATAAAACAGCACAAAATATATCAAATGAAATACACACCACGATAATCTGAGCGCCTGGACATCCCACGTCCACCTCGACCACCACTATAATTACTATGACGATCTGAAGAAGATGAATGCCCACGCCCTCCATGTGCAAGTTCAACCTACAGAGTTACACATCAGAATACAATGTTTAGGCAAAGTACAACAGGTACAGTGGAATGTAAAAATAATAACCTACTCTTAAACGATGCCCATCAAAATCATAGCCATCACGACCACGGAGTGCATCTTCAGCATCACGAGCATCTTCAAACTGTACCAAATAACTTGTTCAAACACAGAATAAATAAAACATAAATAAACAAATTAAAGAAAGTAGTTAAGGACTCTCACCTCAACAAATGCATAACCAGGAGGCCTTGGGGGGACCTTCAGGTCAATATGGGCTATGCGTCCATACTGCGGAAAAGATTAGAACTTCAGTCAGTCAACTGATGACTAGTATTGTATATCTTATTGTTTAGAATCTTTAGAAGACGTTATAACCATCAGTAACACCAGCCCTACAATACCATTGTTCACACCAGAAAAATATAATACGAATATTAAACAGGTTTCGCGAAAAGTAAAAAAGCTCGATTCCTAATTTTAAATTTTTGTTTGTTTTAAACAACTTAACCAAACGGATCAATCCATAGTTCTACTTCTAACGAACAATTACAGTCAAGCATTCCAAATAATAATTTCATCCAAAAACCGCATAAATATTACGCATCGGCACATCAAATCAAGCTGCAACAGATCGAATTACCTTGAAAAACAAATCTTCCACCTCTCTCTCGCGTATATCACCGGGCAGATTCCCAACATAGAGAGTTCTGCTCATACTCCGACTGCTCATTGTCCTGATAAAGAAACAAACAAACCCATTGGAAATTCGGATATATAAAATTATAAAATTTCATCCACTGTGAGCAAATCGAAATCTTCAAGGATCCTATTTGCTTAGATAAAAGCCATTCAATCGAAAAAAAATAAAAAATCAAATCACAGCGTTCTTAATAAAAATTTGACATCAGTCAACGAGAATCTGGAAAATATAATTAAAACAAAATATCGATTTCGATTTCTATTGTACTTCGATCCTTGTGAAGCGAAATCAAAAACGAAAAGGATTAGGGTTTTAATTTATATTACCTCCGATGAAAATTGGGGATCGCAGCGAAGCACAAAGGGCTGGAGCTCGAGGATTAGGGTTTTGAAATTGGAGAGAACGTTTGTTGAGGTACCAAATAAAATTATGGTTCGGATATCCTGTTGCGTTGAGTACGGCAAATATATACGACTCTGTTTTTAATTATTAATTTAAACCGCCTGATCGCTATCGGGTTGCTCCTTTTTGTATCTGGACCGTTGAAACACACGTGAGACCAAATAGTGTACACCGAACGTGCGGATGTGGTTTAAGCAATCTCAAATACCAACAAGAACTTGTCTCTGTCCTTGTAGTATGTACTTCAAAAGTTTTATGGTCCTATATTCCGGTGAATATACCATTTAGATATTAATTTTTTAAATTTTAACCAAAAATATCTATCAAATAAAAATCTCAAAGCACCATACTCTGAAGCACCATAAAAAATTTATAGTTTATTTGGTTAAAAATTCTTCAAAACGAACGATGATGCTGCAGGTTTGTTGTAGTTTAAAAAAAAAATTCTTTTGTTGTGATTTAACAATAATCAGTTGTGAAATAAAACAGCTGAGTGTTTGATAAATTGTATATTAAAAAGTTTGCGAGTATAAAAAGTAATGTAAAAATATTTGGTAACTTTAATATAAAAGTGATATAATTGAATAAATTACTTAGGAGCTGTGCTTCGAACTATGAGAGTTTGCTACAATATTGGACATGCTTGCTACAAAATTGGACATGGTAGTAAAGGTGGAGGCGATGGCAGCGGTTACGAGTGTGGCGGTGGTGATGGTGGCAGCAGCAAATGTGGGGTGTGGTGGTTGGGGGCGTATAGGTAATGGTGGTAGGAGCGGTGGCAGAAGGATAGTAGAGGTTGTGGTTATGGTGGGCATTGGTGGCAGTGGCAGCAACAATGGCAACAGTTGTGGTGGCAACAATGGTGGTAATAATGACAGTGGTTGTGTAAGGTTAGTGTTTGTAGGGGTAGATGGGGTGATCAATACAAGTAAAAAGTTAAACAATGTCAATTTTGATAACTGAAGAGAGTATTACAAGAATTGAAAATATGTATTAAAGCCTCAAATCCGCTTTTTTATTAAAGTAACTTTTAAAAACATAGCTGAAAGCGATTTTAGATAAAATGTTTTCGGGTTCCAAAAACACTTTAAGTACTTTCTGCAAGAAGCACTAGTTATGTGCTTCTTCCAGGAAGCACTTTCAATGCTTTTCCAGAATTTACTTGCAGTTTTACTAAGGATAGGTTCTAAAAACATTTTCATTAAAAGCGCTTTCAGTTATTTTAAAAGCACATCCAAACGAGCCCTAAAGAATTGAAGTGTAGCTAACAAAGCACCAGAGAATTCAAACGAAATCAAATCCATTTCAGCCCGTAAGAACAATTTCCCGGAATATATAGAAGAAAAAAACGAAGAGTTTAAAAAGGAATCCGGTTTATATTCCACATACTGCAAGCAAAACCTTATTTGCATAAACCAATGAGGCACACATTCAGAATCAAGTAACGGGACAAGTTTGGACAAAATTACGACTTCCGTTCTCCACGTATTTATTACTTCTTCGGTTCGATGGATAAGATCGATTTCTGCTACGTATGGTGATGCTTATCAACCTCCCCACCCTCCTTGGCCCGTGCAGCAGCCCTGATTTTACGCTGCTCCTCCTTGTAAATACGATTCCTTCGTTGAAACTGCAGTAATAGACATGCAGAGAAACCATGACATGAATCAGTATTAACAATTGAAACCGAGACAAAAAGAATCTGTATTCATGTAGATACGAATCAAGTTATATTATTTGATTACATAAAACATCTGGGGAATTTGACCAAAACCTCCTCTTTATAAAGACCATGTGTGATATCGTGTTATGTCTTTCTAAGCTGAACTACATTCCTAAATTGCAAACTCGCATACTTGTTCAGCACCATCGACGAATGCCACATGGATGCAATAAAACAAAACCATTGAATAAGACTGTTACCTTGACTAGGGGAGCTAATCGTGTGAGAGATGATAATGCAAACTTGAATCAAAAGTTACAAATGTCACTGAAATCAGGGAATTCGCTATTTAGCTTCTCGTCTCGCTATGCAACATACCTAGGTATGATGTTCTCCTCACCCTACCCATTAATTACCACATATTGAAAGAAAAAAAGGAAGCTAAGATGATAATATGAATACACTCAGTTATTTTTTTGACATTTTCCCTTCTCCGATGAACCTCTGGTGATAGAGCATAACTTTGTACAAGATACTTTTGTTCGAATTATACTCTTTATGCTTACTGTGTTGTCATTTTGCTATTACGTTTAACCTCCTATTCTTAGGATGCAACTGAAAGGTGTAGAGAGTCATTGAACCCAACATATGACATAAAATTGAATTATTGTAGAGGCAGAAATCTAAAATATAATGTGATTTACAGTAACAAAAAAAAGCACGGCAGACTTGTCACTTGGAGTCAGCCATACACAACATAAAAAGTAAACACAAGCAACTCCTAGGTTTCTATCACCCAAAGAGTTGATACATGGACCTTTATCTTCTTACTTTTGCTCAACTTTGATAGGAGATACATAGCACTTTATCGTGCACTTAGACTCAATACTATCCCCAACCGATTCTACAGTTTAAATGCTTGCTAAAAGGTGAAGAATATAAAAATGGAAAAAGAAGCTGAAAACACATATGTAAGTCCCCATTCAAATAATTGGAAAAATGGACAAGAAAAGAGGACTGACTAGTGACCATTGCAATGTAAGACCACTGCTACTTGATTCATCCTCAAGTTAATTCATGGCTTACGACATGCCTGATTTCAATGTTGTGAGGCTCATATTTCCTTGATAACCCTTACTGATATAAGGTTTGACAACCATTTTGTTTTTTGTTTTTAGTTCTAAGTTTTACATTCCCTCCGCCTTTCTTCGTTTCTCCTCTCTCCCACATACTTTGCCTCTATCTATACCACAAAAAATGAAAAATAAAAAACTAAAAACGAATGGTTATCAAACGGTAAGTTGTTTCTCTAGTCAATACAAAAGGATCCAAATGAAGATGAGCCATTCATTCTAATAAATAAAACACCCATGAAAATAAGTAGTCAACCTCCTAAATAAACGAAAAACTCATTGAACTTTTGCAATTAACTCCTTAAAGTTAAATGCCTAACGAAAACAATGTCGTATGAAATGTTTTCAAAAGCTATTATGCACAATGCATAAGCAACGCCGTTCTTCTGCATACTTACTTCTCGTTTTCCAGGAACAATTCTACTTGTCTCCCTTCCCTTCGAACCAGAAAAAGATATAGTTTCCCACTTTTCTTTAATCTTCACAACAGCAATCCCCCTCAGGACATTAACACTTAAATCCGCAAATGCAACTTGGAAAATGGATGAGATGTAATAAGCGAAACCCTAATCATAAAAATCAATTTTTCCAAAAACCCTAAATTAGCTTATCCAATGAAGACTTGGAATTCAGCTGGCAATTGATTCCTATGGTTTAAGCACCACATTATCTACAGCAAGCTCGAAACACGCACCGGATGAACAGTAAATCAATTGGGGAAAACCAGAGCTCAAATTAAACACACCTGAGCTAGATTAACATATAATTAATCAACAATAATACAAACGATCTGAGTGATATTAGAAATGAGATTAACAAAAGTTAATTAAATGGAAGAGAAATTGACCGACCTCTTTGGAGTGGTGGAGGCACTCGAGGTAGTCTTCGCGGAGGAGGACGCAGTCCTTGGGCTCACGGCAGCGAGACATGCACTCGCTGAAGTCGACCCAGAAATCGTAGCACCGCCCTTTGTTGCCGGTGATTCCCCACCCCGATGCCATTTCTTCTCTCGCGCGGCGGCGGATAGAAAATCGAAAATCGGTTGTATCGACGGTTGATGGAGGTCAAGAGGGATCAGCGATTGTGGAGGTTGGTTCGCTTTTCGCCTGTAAAAAATAGTACTTCAAAAATAAAGAAAAAAATTAGTTACTCGGTTGATCACGTCCGTCGATCTCGTATTGTTTGTGTAAATGGGCGGTCGAAATGAATCATTTTTTTTTATATTTTTGCTACTGAAATTGAATTGTTTTGTAATTTTTTTAGTAATTTGATTAATTTGTTTTACAATATGATAATAGCATGGAACTCGTGAATTAGCATATAATCAACTGATATATCCATATCTACTTAAACTATTTTAATTTATGCGTAATGAAGGATATTTAAACATGCAATAAAATGTCGAACTTAGCGATGTGAAATTTATATAAATTTTTGTGCATTTATTTATTTATTTATGATTTATGACAATTATCTCGACATTTATTTATTATTTGGTCTCATTTCATTACCAAATCAATATGTCTTCCTCTTCGTATTTTAGATCTCATCAAATCTCATTATATTACGAAATGAGTTAGCAATAATAAGTATTGAGCTCATGATTAATATTTTTTTTAAACAAAAAATATTATCTACATTATGGGGGAGCGGATATATTAAGTCTCACAATGAGTTAGTAATATTGTGGTTTAAATTTGCATTTGGCGATAATCAAACCTAAGACCTCTCACTTACAAGTGAATAAATACTACTAGACCGTTATACTAAGTGGCTCTTGATTAATCTGATTACAATGCTCAAATAGAGCATGTAATAGAAAATTTAGAGATTCGTCGAATCAATGTGTCTTCGTGTTAAGAGACATGCCTAACTAGGTCAATGGGGTAAAAAATTTATTAGCAAAGAAACAAGAATGAAAATGGTAACAAATTAATTGAATAAATTAAATCTGTAGGAGAATGAAAGTGGTATCTTTTATTTTAGGTAATGAATAAGAATGAAAATGGTAACAAGTTAATTGGAGAAATTAAATTGGAATAAGAATGAAAATGGTAACAAATTAACAGGAGAAATTATATAACTTTTATAAGTAATTACTCATAATATACGTGGGCAAATCCGAATCCTACAAAGTTAACAAACACATTAATGTCGAATTATTTGATAAAGCAATTAGATAGGTATAAGTTATAAAACACAATTAATTGAGACAACATGAAATACCGTCACGATAAACATAACTTATCACGTTAGGTACCATATAACATCAACATTAACTCGAGAAGATAGAAAAAGGAAAATGGCATCAATGATTTTTTGTTAAAATTAACGATACTTGTAAAAGTGAAGTTCACAAAATTTACAAAATGAGTCAGCAATAATTAAATATCGAATTCATCATTAATAGAGAGTTACGGTCCTGAAAAATAATATTTAAGATAAAATTTAGATTTTTCTTGAAACAAAACCTCCTCGTGTTAAGAGACATCCCTAAGTGAGCCAAAAAGCGATATACTTAGTTAGCTTGACTTCAAATACAGTAAAATCATTTAATAATATAAGAAATATTTTACTATGTCGAAAAAACAACTTGGTCTACGAAATGTCATCATTCAATATATTATATTTAGTGAAATGAGTAGTTCCATATACTGAAAAATCTCTCTTAATACTTAATAGAGTAAATTACATAGAAATCCCTCAAGTTTGAGGTCTATTACAACCTCATACAACATCTTTAAAATATTTCACTTTCATATCTCACGTACTATTTTATTTCGAAATAACACATCCGTTAGATTTTTCATCCAATGGTCTGTTAAATGTTGACGTGGCCGCCACATTTGTACTGATGTGGCTGCCACGTGGTAACAAAATAATTTTTTATACATTAATAATATTATAATATTAACCCTATTATTAAAAACAAAAAACAAAAAAAACCACAAAAACCCGAACCTAGATCCCCTTCCCCTTCCCCACATCCCACCCCCTCATCTCTCTGCAACTCAACTCACATTTACAAAATCCCTTCCCCCCCCCACCCCTAAACACGACCTACTACCCTCCCCCCCCCCCCCGGCGACCGCCTACCTTCCCTCCCCCCACCTGCCTTTCCCCCCTCCCCAGCGCACGACGACCCACCTGCCTTCTTCACCCAGGAGCACGATGGTGCAAGGCGACTGGGTCAGTTTCATCATGGGAGCCCTCCTCCCTTTCTCTCTCTCTCTCTCTCTTCCTCTCTCTACTTTATCTCTCTCTATCAAATGTGCATCTGTTTGAATTGGGTTTATGAATTGTATGTGAAATTAATCGAATTTATGGTTTTTTTGGTAAATTAGGGGTTTGAAAATTGTCTCTGTAGGTGGTAAGAGTGCAATACTGACAGCTCTATGTGTAGGTGAGGAAGAGAAAGGGCTTGGGGAAGGTGAGGTGGGGTGGGGGGCTTGCGGGGGAGGTGGGGGTGGGGTGGGATGAGGGGTGTGGAGGGGATGGATGAAGGGGTGGAGGGGACGGACGGACGGGAAGGAAGAGATGGGTGAGAGGTTGGGGGTGGGATGTAGGGTTGCGGGGAAGGGGATATGGGTTCGATTTTTTATGGGGTTTTGTTTTGTTTTTTTTAAATTTTTTTTTTTTAATAATAAGGTTAATATTATAATATTGTTAATGTATAAAAAATTATGTTTTTTCCATGTGGCAGCCATATCAACATAAATGTAGCAGCCACGTCAGCATTTAACAGACCATTGGATGGAAAATCTAACGGATGTGTTATTTTGAAATAAAATAGTGCATGAGGTATGAAAGTGAAATATTTTAAAGATGTTATATGAGGCTGTAATAGACCTCAAACTTGAGGGGTTTCTATGTAATTTACCTTAGAAAACCCTACTTAATAGCATGACGAGCGCTACAGATTCCGCAAACGCAATGCCGGGACCCATACTCCTCGATGGATTTGTCAAGCAAGTATTCCAGCATTTTTCACCTACCTCACTCACAGCGTAAACACCCCAAACGCAGCAACCTTATTGGTCCAAAGTTGGAAAGTAGTCAATGCTAAATAGGAAATACATTGCCTCGTTTGTCTTTATCAAGACCTCAGTCGTCAAGAGTCTCGAGCTCAGGTAAAGCTTATCGCCCCCGATCCTCTCTCCGGAAAAGGACCAAAGGTCGCGCTGGAGACTTAATCGCCTGCTCGTTGACTCATTTGCTCAGTAACGAGTTAATTGGATAAATTAAATTGGTAAAAGAATGAAAAGGGTATATTATTTTAGTTAAGAAATAAGAATTAAAATGGCAACAAATTAACCACAAAAAATTAAATTCATAAAAAGTAATTACTCATAATATATGTAGGCAAATCCAGATCCTACAGAGTGAACAAACGAATTAATGTCGAAGGATTTCACAAAGCAATTAGATAAGTATAGTTATAAAGCACAATTAATCAAGACAACATGAAATGCCGTCATAATTAACATAATTTATCACTACGTAACATCAACATTAACTCAAGAAATTACAAAAAAATGGTATCAACAATTTGTTTTTTTGTTGTTAAATTCAACGATATTTATAAAAGTGAAGTTCGCGCTAACTTTCAAATTGAGTCAGCAATAATTAAGTATCAAGTCTACCATTAATAAAGGGCTACGGTCATAAAAAATAACATTTAAGAGAAAATCTAGATTTTTCTCGAAACAAAGCCTCATCGTGTTAAAAGAAACCCCTAACTGAACCAAAATGATATACTATAAACTGGACCAAAATGATAAACTATGTTAGCTTGACTTCGAATATGGTGAAACTTTGTAAATAACGTGAATTGAGAAAACCATAATGTAGTATGAGAAGGATATTTAGTACGTCGCAAATACGTTTCGATATGCCAAGTGTTTTCAATTAATTATATTATTACAATTGGACTGTTTTTCAACACGCAGAAAAAAATTATCTCCCCCAAGGCCATCTCCCAATAGTATGACGACAGGGGTCCCTTCCAGGTGCAGCAACCCAATACCCGGTCCCACACTCCTCAATGGACTTGTCAAGCAAGTATTCCAGCATTTTCCACCTACATCACTCACAGCGTAAACACCCCAAACGCAGCAACCCTATTGGTCCAAAGTTGGAAAGAAGTCAATGCTAAATTGGAAACACATTGACTCGTTTGTCTTTATCAAGACCTCAGTCGTCAGGAGTCTCGAGCTCACGTAAAGCTAACCGCCTCCGATCCTCTCTCCGGAAAAAGGACCAAAGGTCGCGCGGGAGACTTAATCGCCTGCTCGTCGACTCATTTGCTCAGTCCTTTCCCTTTCTTTTCGCCAACCAGAGAGAAAACGACAGCGTTCTGAACTTCGTACAATGGCGTCACCTCCGTCCCCGACGTCGTCGGTCGGCAGCTCCTCGTCGTCGTCGTTTTCCAACTCTAAATTCTCGTCTCTTCCCGTAATGGCGCTCCGGGAGAAGATCGTCGAGAAAATCCTTGATAATCGCGTCACTCTCATCGTCGGCGAGACCGGTTGCGGTACGTACATTCTCTACTTGCTCTCTTTACTCTACGGCTCTACGTTTTTGGTGTTATCGCTAAACTGTTTGTATATCGTCGGGTAATTTTCTGTTTGGTCCCCGAGAAAACTGAGACAAGAAAAAAAATTGGTGAAAATGTTCGGAAATCGCATCATTTCTTTAATTTTTTGTTTTCTAGTATTATTATTGTTTATTTTTTGCACGCTATCACTGCCACATTTTGGTAATTTTGTTGTTAATTTGTGTTGTTTTGCTGCTGGTTTGGTTTGGTTTGGTTTAATCAAAGGGAAAAGCTCGCAAGTTCCTCAGTTTCTTCTGGAAGCGAATTTGAAGCCAATTATATGCACACAGCCGAGGAGATTTGCAGTTGTTGCTGTTGCGAAAATGGTTGCGAAAGCTCGGAATTGCGAGCTTGGTGGAGAGGTTGGATATCACATTGGCCATTCAAAGCACTTATCGCCAAGGTACCGTGTGATATGGTTATTGTTCTAATTTTCCTTTCAGAGTTTGCGTTGCAGCAGCATAACGTTTGGGCTCATGTATTTGTTTGGCTCGAATGTTTTTGCAGGTCTTCGATTGTTTTT